ATCTATGTAATTTTCTCTTTGCAAAAAGTTAAAGTTCTATAAAGGTAGATGGATATTTTTTTTATTTTACAGTCTTGTCTCAAATACTCCTGTAGTTTGGCCTTTAACTGGACCATATTTTTTGTTTTCTTCTATTTAAACTATTCCTTTGTGACTGTGGGTGTTAAGTTTATGATCAAACTTCTTGTGAAAGATTATCCTTTTCCTTAGATTCTCCGATTTCTAGCCAAGCTCAAACTCTCACTAAACAGCAGACTCCAATGACCCAGGATTGAAGGATGGATCATTCATCTGCATCTGACTTGGTGTGATCCAGCATTGGAACCATTAGCTCTCCAACAACAGGTCTTGTGAAAGCAACTAAAACTTACAAAGACTCCTGATAGGTGTTGAAATGTTCAGAGAAAAACTGAGCAAAGGTCTGGATGCCTCTGATTGAATCATGTTTCTGGGTTCTGATAATCTGGATGACTGAGAATTTGCACAGACAACTTTTGAACAATGAAGGTTTTCTCCATATGTTAATGGAATAGAGTAGGCACTTTTCCTCACCAGATGAATTTTAAATTAGTTATGGGTCTGTAATTATTAAATAAACTTTTTTACATACACCTCTATGCATGTCTCTGGTTTACTTGGATTCAAAGCTTTTTTAAATCTGCTGCTTTCACTATGATTTATTTATGCAACAGCAAGGACTGACTTTCTCCTTCAGAATTCCTAAACCAAGCATGTTTAGCAACTTCTGGGTGTAAATAGAACACACCTTAAATGTAAGTGCTCTTGGGCCTTACACATGTGAACAGGGAGGGGAAGGGTTGGTGTACTTTGTCCAAAACAGGGCAGTAGAACTCCAGTCCTCATGTTTTTCAATTTTGATATATGTCTTTTGTACAACAGATCTAAGGCAAGTAGTTGTTTTATCTCCTCAGCTTGCACGCAAGTAGATCAGCATAGGGTCTAGCTTATGGCCTAATTATTTGATTTAGTTGCACTGAAGCTGATGCCCATCAAAAAGCTGCACAGCTGAGAACTATGGTTTGAGAACAATTGAATTTAGTATGTAGTAGCAACTGGTCACAACACACCATTTCAATGCACTTTAAAGAGTCAATTTATTCAAATCAGACAGTTTACTATCTTGATTACATCAAGTAGATGACTTTGAAGAATAGAGACATCCTGGATGAGCACAGTGATATACTGTAGACATAGAATGGGACAAAACTGAATGCTGGTTCCAGATTAAAGGTACTTGATAACTAAGACATATGCCCCCGATTCTACTTTTAGAAATTTTAGAAACTATAACTAAGCCTCCAATTTGGGGGCAAATTGATGCAAGGAACAAACTGTAATGAAATAAACACTAATCTAAACCTTTCTATCTATAATGTGGGCCTTTAATTGGTTTTCTGCAGGATGAACTGATATTAATAAATCTTTTATTTATCCCCAATCAGCTTTGCTTTTCGTAGTAAAAATCATTCCCACAGCATGATGCAGCCAACAAGGTGGCTGCATCATTCTGGTCTCAAGGTGGTGTTTTCTAGGTGATGTGCTGAGCATTTTCCAATATTTTTTTGCAGATTGTGGACACTGGAGTTACTGGTTGGAGTTTACTTTGAATAAGCTCCTTTCATTTGGGAAAAAGTAAGGTATAGTAGAGCAAAACTGCAAAAGCACAAGAACAATCAGGACTGCTCTTGCATATTTAGATAAATACTTCTGTCAGAAGTTCATTTTTCTTTGATGTTTTGGAGATATTATAAAATAAATGATGAGTGTAAAAGGGATGTGCATGCATGTGTATTTATTTTGTAGTATTCATGAAAGAATCAAAACAATTAAAACAAAAGGAACGTTTTCTTTTTTTTAATAGGTGTTTAAAATAGCTGAAGTTTTTTTTTGTAAGATTTGTGTTTGCATAAGTTGTGTCAGCCCCACCTGTGAAATCAGCTTCCCACCCATGTCTGAGGGTTGAGATATAAACATGTTCTGGAAAATTCGTGTAATGTGATTTCTTCTTTGGTTTACACAAACTTTATATTTGTTCAGTCGGAACATCAGGAAAGGGTGGATCTTCCTCCAAGATAAAAGGAAGAAGCTGCAGGTTCTGTTTTCGCACGTGCAACACTTATCAAATTTTAGACGCTCGCAGAGCTTTTCTGCTGGAATGTTTTACAGCTGTTTAAGAGTCAAGATCAGTTTATTCTTTTTACATTCAGCTGCAGTTCATAATGACATTACTGGCAAAAAAATGTATTAAAATGTGTGTGGAATTTTAAGCTTAAGCACTGTTTACATTCTAAACCTAACCATAAAATTGCCTTCATTTCTGAAATAGGTTTCACATATTTGAATACTTTGACATTGATTCCTGTTTGTTTCCTGAGTTTATGAGACATTTTGCTCTTTGAAACAGCACAGTTTCCATTTTATATCGTTTGCAATTTAAAAGTGGTTTTATTAGAAAAAAAATAGATATATATCTTCTCATGTAAACCTTTAAACAGTTTTCTAAGAAGGAATAATATTACAGAAAAAAGAGCACAGCTGCACAATGTTAAAAAGGCAAAATAAAAATGACAGATCTGGGCACCTACACCATCCTGCCTTTGATCCATTGTCTCCATACTTGCTGTTTTCAGATGACCACCAGCCTGAGCTCATGTTTTCCCTGGAAAGGTGAAGTCACATTTAGAGCGGTCTGCCTTTGATAAGATTTGATATCTCTACCTTGTTCCTGTGTCACTAGTGTTTGCAGCAATACTTTAAACCTGAACCCAAGTGGCTTTAATTTCATTTTTCATGTTGGTTTGTTTTTTGCTCTTTGATATGAAGCTTCAAAGAACAATATTACCAAAATGTTTTATGATAGAGGGCAATTGTGAAAAAAACACTCTATTTTATTATGTGTTTACACCACAAACCCCTGTTGCCTCTCCTAAAGATCAACAGCAAAGAAAACTCTAACAAGCTCCTTGAAATGAAAGTCCTGTTTATTATTGTTCTACTGTACCTCACACAGTTTGCAAGTTACTCTGCAACACATGTTATACAGGATGCTCTGCATTGTTATATAGATTCATTTTAACATTTGGATACCAAAAAAAAAAAAATAATAATCATCTGCATTTTATTTACTAAACTACATTTTGATGTTAGTTATAATTTAATCCACCTCTTTTTTTTTTGGATAGATTCAATCAAGGCCCTTGAACTAACTGCAAAAGTACTATACTTGAAGTAAGGTCACCCCCTTGTGGAGAAAGTAAAGTTTTAGTTGCACCTTCACCAAAATATTCATGTTTTGAAAAACCAAAATCATAATCATCAAAAAGAATAATAAACAATATTACCTTTATGGTTAACTGGAGTTAGGAATATGTGTCCTAGGCTGTTGTGGCCCCTAACCACAATAGCTTTTAATACAAGCATACTTGATTAACAGTTCAATATGTCATATTAGTACTCTGTCAAAATAAAATATTCCAAAAAAGTGTTGGAAATTTCTAAAACTTATAAAGATGGTATTATTTTAGGATTATTCATCCACACAAAAGATTCAGGTTGTTGTTATATGTTGAGGGTATAATAATATATGCAGTTCATGGTGTGATATATTACAAATAGTTTATTTTTCCTCCTTTTTTAAATATATATTTACTGTAATATTTTTGTTACAATGTTGACTCATTGAAATAAAGGTTGAAACATTTATTTCTTAATATATTTCCATAAATCTACTAAGTTGTATAAACGGTTAACAACTTATATAATTATTAACTTGTGGGCTTTTTGGCTTTCTAAAGTGGTGTGGAGAGAATTATCGAAATAAATATATAATTATCATAAATTACAGATTTTTTTAAATTGAATACTAATTTAATAATTTAAGATCTAACTACTATTAAAGTCAGAATTCTGAGAAAAAAAGTCAGAAATCTGAGAAAAAAAGTCAGAATTCTGAGATCAAAGTCAGAATTCTGAGATTAAAGTCAGAATTCTGAGATTAAAGTCAGAATTCTGAGATTAAAGTCAGAATTCTGAGATTAAAGTCAGAATTCTGAGATTAAAGTCAGAATTCTGAGATTAAAGTCAGAATTCTGAGATTAAAGTCAGAATTCTGAGATTAAAGTCAGAATTCTGAGATTAAAGTCAGAATTCTGAGATTAAAGTCAGAATTCTGAGATTAAAGACAGAATTCTGAGATTAAAGTCAGTATTCTGAGATTAAAGTCAGAATTCTGAGAAGAAAGACAGAATTCTGATATTAAAGCAAGAATTCTGAGATTAAAATCAGAATTCTGAGAAAAAAGTCAGAATTCTGAGAAGAAAGACAGAATTCTGATATTAAAGCAAGAATTCTGAGATTAAAATCAGAATTCTGAGAAAAAAGTCAGAATTTTGAGAAGAAAGAATTCTGAGAAGAAAGTCAGAATTCTGATATTAAAGTCAGAATTCTGATATTTATAGTCAGAATTAAGAGAAAAAAGTCAGAATTCTGAGAGAAAAGTAAAAATTCATAGAAAAATGTCAGAATTCTGAGACTAAAGCCAGAATTTTGAGAAAAAAAGTCAGAATTCTGAGATTAAAGTCAGAATGACTTTTTTCTCATATTATACTAAAATAAAATGTAAAAATCAGTTAACTTTTTTGCTTTTTCAGTGGCCCTATTCCTCTTCCGTACCTACTCTTTAGTTTTTGGAGTATAATTTCCAACTCCTATTTCCGGATTATGGAACTAGTGTAAAACACTCAACATTGAAAACAGATAAGTCACTATGTCTTCATGAATTATATTGAAAAATAATTAGTAGAATATATCAAACATTTCCCAAAAGTTTAATTTCTTGAGTTTTTTTATTTTTAGCGTATTAATCCTTTTTTTCTTACGTTTTTCAAAGATAGTAGAAATTCCGAGTGTACTTGAACGCCATATCCCACTCAGCAGTTTAGCGCGCTCTGACCGCGTGATGTTTGACAAACCGTTAGCATACCGTAGTTTAGGAATAATTTGCCTCTTCTGCACACACGCCGTGTTGACATTTCTGATCAAATAATCAGCCTGGGGCGGTTTCAAAATGGTTCCAGAAGACGTCCAGTTCATGGCTCTTCTGAAAGGAAAACGCATCAAACTGACTCTGAAAAATGCCTCATACTTTGGCATTGTTCAGGGAATCAATTCAAACAAGACATTGGTTTTGGCTGACGGTGAGCGAATACTGCAGTGTCACAAATCCACATTTCCTCTGTTAATTACCCCGTTAGCTCACTTTCATGGTATTTTTCCAGTTAGTGACAGCAGTGGATGCAGATATTCAGGAACTATGCTTTTCTTTGGACGCGAGGTTCTGAATGGTGAGCGCCTTCATAAAAACTAGTGAGAAAGTAGAGAAAGTGTCATTTTGCCATCAGTAACCTTTGTTTTATTTTATTAAATTCAAGTTGAATTGGAAAGCAAAGAAAAGGACGACAGGTAAGTAAGCGAATATCACACAGCTCAATAAATTAATGTTCCAACGAAAATAGATTTATAGTAATTTAGTTCAGATAGTGAAACTCAGAAATGCATTTAGCACTCTGATTTTCTTAGGTCTTCAAGAGGGGGTCCATGGAGGTACTGCATGGGGATCATTTTTTTAAATTTTTTTTAAATAGTCCCCCCTGCAATTTTTTTCCACTAATTGAAATGTTTTTAAATCCACATTAACATGAATTCAACACACTAAACAGATAAATGGAGACAGAAGATGTCTTTGTCTTGAATGCATCACAGGAGCTCTATTAAACTGGGCACAGTTTCATTCACAACACCTGTCCCATCAACCAGGAATCAGAAATACTTGTTACATTGCTCCATATGTAATAGAGTGACTATAGGACCAGTTTGACATATAACACAATTTCATACAATATATGTAATTAGGGGGTCCCCGCTCCATCGCGCCATCAGTTTAGGGTCCTTGGCCTGGAAAACGTTGAAGACTTTTGCCTTAGATCGTTGTGTTTCATGGATAATGATAATAAACTGAAATTAAATGTCAAATAAGAGCATTAAAACAATTCCAAAATGTATTTTATGACCTTAACAAATAGGGTTAACCAGAAAGTTGCAAAAAGTCAACGGCATCTTTTATTAGATTAGGGCACAGAGGTTTAAAAAAAAAAAAAAACAGTTGTGACCCCAAATAATAATACAGTGTTTCAGACTGGTGATCCCTAAAAAATAAATGTATTTTACTCTAAGTACATTTGTAAATCACCCTTTACTAATTACATTCATTTTTAGATGCATGTGGTTTTAAAAATATATTTATTTGTATAATTATTAATGTATATTTGATTGGATTTTTGGTTAATTATTTGTTTTATAATTTAATGATATATTTGACATTTTAATCATGTATTGGATAAATTAGTATATGTAACATTCATTTAATTCTTTAGTATTTTGGCCCTCCACATGCTTCATGGATCCTATCATGATGATTTTTAAAACCATCTCACCCCCATTTTGGGGGGTCCTACCTCTCACTTTGGGAACCCCTGGGTTGGAGTTCTGCATCCAAGCTGATTTTGTGGTGAAGTGACTGAGTAGTGCAAAGAAATGTTGCCAAGCAACAGGGATAGCCACAACCTTGAGCAGATTTTGAAGCAAAGGCGTATCAAAAAGTCTTTGCAGGTTCAGAGTAACAGCAGAGCCCTGTGCATAACCACTGCAAAGGGATCTTTACAGAACAGGGGCTAGAACTATTTTTAAAGCCTTGGTTATGTGTTGCTACTCCTGAATCCCTGAAATCAGAACTGTCTTAGCAGTGCTGTATTGTCGAGGACAAGGATAAGGTTCATCTTTCTGGAAATCTACTCTTCAATTCTGACTGAAGAGTAGAGAGGCATAGAATATTGCGTGAGGTCATGGGTGAAATTTCCCCAGACTGTGATAATTTGATGAGCAAAGTCATGGACTGGCCTTGGTCCACTCTGTGTTCTGATGCCATCCTTAACAGGAGATTTAAGGACACTTCTTTACTCTCTCTGCTGGAAATTCTGGTCTCATTTTTCCAGCAGAAAAAAGCAGGGCTTTTTTTTTTAACACCTCAGCAGGCTGACCACATTCATTCCATGACTTTCAATTACCAACTATGTAAAATAACCTTTTGAATATATACCGTAGAATAAACTTTTCAATGGTATTCTAATTTATAGAGATTTGCCCAAAATTACAAAACAATAGGTCTTTCAAATAGAATTTTAGTGGTAATATAAATATATAAATGTTTTCAAGACCAATTATGCATGGCGCACCTGAAGAGCAGCTGGATTTGGAGAGGTTCCAGTCATACAGGAAGATGATGTCGTTAGGTGAGTTTAATTCATTGTTATCTTTATTCATTTATGCTGATTAAACTCCTTTATGAAGGATTCTCTCCTTCCAGATGACCATGAAGAGGAGTCCATTAACTTTGAGCTCATTGATAAGATCCATGTCAAGTTTGGACCTGCTGTAAGTTACTTTTTTTAATATTTAAAACATTAAACGGGGGTAACATTATGACCGCTGGAAGGTGAAGCCAGTATAAGACTGTTTATTAGTCTTATATTGGCTTCAGTATAAGATTGGGTGGAGGATGGCTAGGGAATGATGCCTCCTCAACACTGTGGCTTTTTGGTGTGCACCCAGTCTGCATTGGACAGTAGATCTACTAAAAAGGAACCGTGATTAACTGGTGATTTTTTATTTTTTTCCCCCTGTACATGTTATGGGCAAATGGTGGATTATTTTGGTCAGTCAATTAAAAAAGGTAAAATTACTGAAAAGATTGATGCCCACATATTGATCAATCTTATTTTCATTTAAATAAGCTGAATGGCTAATTCATAGATAGATTGCATATAAGATATGCTATATCTATGGTTAGGTGTGTGTCTTCTGGTTACCTAGGGAACGCAGGTCATCTGGACATAGTGTGATTTTATTAGCTCATTTACGCTACCCTTGAAAAACCGATCCATGCCGAGATTGGTCCAAGCTCGGATCAGTTAACCAGGCTGACGACCGTTTACACATCACGCTATCTTGGTTCCTCGACTCCTCGCCTCCTACTGACGATCTGCGGTATTACTACCAGTATTGAAGGAGGAAATCAAACAGTTGGTGGCGGTAATGCACCAAAAGTTGTTTGCCAACCGCCATAAAACAAGCAGAAGAAGACGAAGGAGGGAATCAAGCGAATCAAAATGTTGTGTGGAGAAGATTTTGATTCTTGTTTATAGTTGTTGTTGTTCTTCTATTTTGTGTTGGTTGGCAAGCAACTTCCAGAGGGGCATTACCACCAACTACTGGAATGGAGTGTGAATCGGGATGCGCAGCCAGACGGAGAGGACGCGTTCTGCTCATGCGCTCTTGTTATCAGAGAACCGAGCCAGGGAAAAACCGGGCCGAGCCCACCTCTGGAACTGGTCTGCAGTTAGTGCGATTTGGTTGTGTCTAGCTCGGTTCAGTTTGCTTTCTATTTACACACGATAAGTTATCTCAGTTACTGAGCTCAGACCGGTCTCGGCACGGTTTTTCAAGGGTAGTGTAAATGGGGTATATGTTTCCCTGGTTCAGTAGAGCTGATTTCCACTGATGGCTGATTGAACAGCTATTGCTGAGCTACAATCATCTTAACCAAGTGTGTTAATGGAAGGGAAGATCTAAAACCAGCAGTTAACCAGCCCCAGAGGGCCGATTTTGGACACCCCTGCTTTAGATTATTCTTTGCTTGGAGATCTAGTGTCATGCTCTCCTTGTTGATTCTGTTAAAGTGTATCAAATTTTAGCCAAACACCTCAATAAACATTGCAACTTTGAAAAATCCAAATTTAGTCTTCAGATTTATGGGGTCTATGCCTTTATAAGAGGTATTGTAGTTATGGTAGCAAAGAGTAGAGTAAAGCACTATATGGCAGGTTGTAATGTTATCCATACTTGTTTTAAATCAGTGTTTTTCTCATATGTATATTTTTTTTTTCTGTGGAAAAAAAACTAAACCTCAGTCTCTTTCCTGTAGGTGATGCACATCAATAAGGAGCAGGTGATTGGTGTGGGAGGTGAAGGAGTTGAGATCTTTAAAAATGGAAGGTTGTGTTGGTTGCAGGTGAAAAAAAAAATAACTCTTCTGCTTTTTTAATCAATTCCTTCTGGCTTTCTGAGTTTTGTCACACCACAAATACTTTCAATGTCATCCGTCTAGATTGCCACCTCTAAGAAGGTTTATTTGTTTGACATCCTGCTGCTTGGAGCCCAGGCCTTTAAAAATGGCCTCTCCATGATCCTTGAAAGTAAGCAGATACTAAAGGTGAGAGTTTTGTACATTAGACAAAGAGTAAACTCAGAGATAAACTATGTTATTTAGACATCTTTTGCTCCTTTTGCATCTTTCGCAGGTCATTCATGATTGTAGAGCCATTGCTGCGTGTCTTATCGCTCAGTTCGGGGTCCAACTAACCAATGTGTTTGACACACAGGTACGTGCAAATGTGCATCTTACTACAGCTTACTATTTTTGGGACGGGAAAAATGTAATTTAGTTCTTTTATACAAAATAAAATCGAGGGTGACCCGGATGTATATCCGGTTGCACATGCGCAAATGAGCTGATGGTACGGATCGGGTAGTTACACTGAGTGTCCACAAAATCCATCTTGAGTATAACATTTTAATTGTTTGCTAGGTCAGATCGATTTATCATGGATGTGCTAGACGTCACATCCCAGAACAGCGCGGGAACTTCCCAACCGAAGTAGATTACGGTGTTTGATTTAATGATGTGACCGATACATGTGTATTTTCTTATTTAACTGGCTGTTAAATTATCGCAGCTGTGAAAACAACACCTCTTTCCATGGATGTTGCCCCACATTTCCTATTTAATTATTAATTTATTTTATTAGATTACATTAAAAAAGGTCACTTCGCATCTGATTGCAACTGTGATAATAGCGTATAATGAATGTAGGCTCTTACCACAACCATCACTTTATGTAAACCCTCTCTGTAAGTATAGTTAGTGTATGTTGTTATATTTTATCCCACTTTTTCGCACAATATGCAGTCCTCTTCTCGGCGATTCCGTGGTAAAGTTGAAAGATAGACTATAACAGATTAAAGGAAAAAAAATCACACTTCAATCAAAAAAATTATATTCTTCAAATTTAATGATCCAACATTTTTAATTGGCCTTGTGAGCGCATTGGAGCAAACAGGAGCGGAGCAAAATACTCGCTCTGGCCTTTGAATTGAAAACGGCTCTGTGCTCCACCACTTTTCTTCCACTTTACTCCACCGCTCGCTCCACGCTCCGCTCTGCTCCATGTCCTAGGTATTGGTTAGTACACAAAGCCCATCTAAGACAAGACCTCAGGGGAAATTACTGAATTATATGAAATAAGAATATAAAACTCTTAAATTGCATTTGGGCTAGGTCTACTCTGTTAGCTTTGTCATCCTTGTATACATCTTGTGTGTTATTCTGTGGAGTCTAATATTTTTTTTTCTTTGCTTAAATATATTTAAAGGTGGCGGATGTCATGTATTTCTACTCGAAGACTGGAGGTTT